TTAAATCTGTTCATATTAGTTACCTTATTTGCATAAGCTTTTCCATCAATATCTCAAGTTCAAGTAATTTTTAATTCATTTTTAATGTGTCTCCAATACTCTCAGCACACGGGAGTTCTTTCTAAGCTTTCTTTGATTGATGAGTTGAATGTGAAATATCGGGAAAAAGGTATATTCCCTGGATTTTATTTTCACTGAAGTATCCCTTCAGCGAAAATAGCAAAAATAAATTCCAAGCAGAAATAAAGTATTCTACAGTATTCCACCAATTTTAAGCACTGAACGACTTTCTATGGTTGGGTCAGTTTTATTTTTAGTAGGATCTTACAATCAAGGCAAACTCATTGAGCTCGATGCAGTACTTTTACAGTGGTACTTTAATCATTCGTCTTTTGTGATGCAGGCCCAAGGTTTGCGTGGACCAATCACATCAGCTAGTAAGTTACGACTATCTGATCACCGACTGTATGTAATGAAAGATGCTGAAAGTAATAAGTAAGTATACCTCGTTTTAGGGATGAACCTGGCTAACTTACTAAGTAAAAATGCTGTACTACGAGAGCTACTATCGGTAATTCAATTTTCCATCAAATAAATGAAACAGACGAGGATTTCTAAATTTGTTTCTATGGAAACAATGACTTTCTGATTTAAGTGATAACATAATCATTGTTTAACTACAGATCTAAAACACAAAATCTAAAGTTAGTTTTTCAGAATATGTTAAAACTAAGTGAAACTGCATAGAAGAAAGTAGTGGAATGATCTGAGCTAATTTGCATAGAAATAAGTAATTTTGATCTCATTTTCATTTTTATTTCCTTTCCAAAATTGGTAGATAGGGTAATCAGAAATTCCTCAGGTCATGAAGATCCTAGCTGAAGGTGAATGTTGCTGAACTGTTTTTTTCGGAACGTCACCTGCCTTGAACTAATGAACTAATTCCATGCTGATGCAAGTAAATCCACATGTAAATGACAAAGTACATTTTACTTTGTTTCACACAATAACAACATCTTCAATCAAAATCAACGTCTTTTATCTTGGCTTTAGATATAATAAATAAATATGATTGGAAATGTTTTTTTGAATTGCAAAAAATTACTACATTAACTTATAATGACCCATCTATAATCGGCCATCTTGAATCAGTTTTTGAAAAATATTACCTGGTATGTAACTGCAATCCAGTATGTATTTAATTGTTTGTATTTAATCGGATCATGATGAAATAAAACTCTAATTAATATTTCTTTATATCACAGAGGTTTGGGTGCAGTTATTGGTATTTTAAAAGTTGGCAGAAAAAGACTATTTATTGTTGACATTCATAATACTCAAAATGAAATGGAACCATTATGTGTGTTAGATTTTTATGTTCATGAATCTTGTCAAAGGAAAGGATATGGTAAAAAACTGTTTGAGTACATGTTGAAGGTATGTTTGTTAACCAATCACTTATTGTAAACATTGCTAACTTGTTATTGTTCATTCAGTGTTAATATTGGTGAATTTTAACTTATTTATATTGTCCATTGCCAACTTTTTGTTTAGTGTTCATTGCTAACATATTGTTAACATTGTTCATTGCTAGCATATTGTTAACACTGTTCATTGCTAACATATTGTTAACACTGTTCATTGCTAACATTGTTAATTGTTAATTTATTGTTAACTTTTTGTTAACAATCTTCATTGCTAACATATTGCTAACATTTTTCATTGTTATTAATTTATTGTTAACATATTGTTAATATTGTTCACTGGTAACTTATTGTTAACATTGTTCATTGCTAACTTATTGTTAACATTGTTCATTGCTAACATTGTTCACTGCTAACTTATTGTTAACATTGTTCATTGCTAATGTATTGTCAACATTGTTCATTGCTAACATTGTTAATTGTGTTCATTCTAACATATTGTTAACATTGTTCGTTGGTAACATATTGTTAACATTGTTCATTGCTAATGTATTGTTAGCATTGTTCATTGGTAACATATTGCTAACACTTCATTGCTAACATATTGTTAACATTGTTAATTGCAAACTTATTGTTAACATTGTTCATTGCTGATATATTGTTAACACTGTTCATTGATAACATACTGTTAACATTGTTCAATGCTAATGCATTGTTAACATTATTAGTCCTTGTTCGGACGGCCATTTTGTTTTAAAGAATTCAGTTCTGGATCCGTATCCGAGACATGTCTAGATTGATCAAGTTCAAACTTCACACACACATGGTACATCATGTCACAAATAGATATGTGCATTTGTTTCATGATCCGCTTAACAATAGCTGAATGATGGCCATTTTAAGGCCGAAAATGCATCAAAATCACGTATTTTCACAATTCCGGAACCGGATCTCAGTCATGCATGGATGGATTTTGTTCAGATTTAGTGCATATATTAAACATAATATAAGCTTGATGCATACCAATTTTTCCTCGGATCAAGTTCAAAATGGCCAACTGGCGGCCATTTTGTTTTAAAGAATTTAGTTTTCGATCCATGTCTTGGACATGCCTGGACAGATCAAGTTCAAACTTCACATACCCATCATACGTTATATCATACATATGCCTGTGCATTTTGGGCCAGTCCTTTTAAGGTCAAAAATTCACAAAAATTGCACATTTTCACCATACCGGAACTGAATCTTAGTCATGCGTGGGCAAATTTAGTTTAAATTTTTTTTTGGATTGTGTTGAAAATGGCTGACTGGTGGCTATTTTGTTTTACTGAATGCAGTTCAACATCCATATTGTTGCCGTTGCTGCTTTGAATGTATATGTCACTCAAATATGAACGGAACGGGGACGTGTCATTGACAATGACTTGTTTCTAATACTTTTACCATATTTCATACATTAATATATTGCATGAGTTGTGACATGTGCTCATTGACTTGCACTGTTTTACTTTACAGGCAGAGAGTGTCCGCCCTCAGCACTTAGCTATTGACAGACCGTCTTCCAAATTTACATCATTTTTAATGAAACATTATAAATTAAGGACCACAATATCTCAGGTATGGAATTATGTTTTTTTAATATCTTTATCATAACAATAATGTGCCAATCCCATGTGGGATAGTAAAAGAGCTGCTATCTAATATTTTTAGTTCAAATTGATTGTAGTCCAAAATATTATTTGTCGGAAATGACTGTTTGTAATGTGTAATGATGTCCATCTGACCATCCATACTAATACTGTGGAATACTTTATTTTCGCTGAAATTAATTTTCGCTGAAAAGGCTTTTTGGGCATTTTGCTTGGAATTTATTTTCACTGATTTTTGATGAGTTTAATGTGAAATATAGGAAAAAAAGTATATTCGCTGGATTTTATTTTCACGGAATCATCCCTTCAGCGAAAATAGCGAAAATAAATTCCAAGCGAAAATAAAGTATTCCACAGTATCGATAATGAATTGTTTTTGCAAGTGTTTGTAGTGCATAGTGCATTTGCCATAGTATTCATATTCCATGTTTTGGACTACTGTATTTGCTTTATATAAGTGCATCTCCAATAGTAGTGCATGTACTACAAACATTGCATTTATTCTATGCTGGATCTTTCAAATATCACTTATTTTTGACTATAAACAACTTCTGCATTTGCATAAGTGCATACAATTCTTATAGAGTACAGACAACACGTGACATGGCTGTGTCACAATGTCATAATTTTATGGACTATCCGGCATCAACAAAACTTGGTCAGCCACAATAACGTGCAGTAGACCATTTCTATGCTTCACCAAAGTTGATTCATTTTTATTTATTTATTAAGACTGTAGCCACTCACCCAGGGTGTGGGTTCTTCCCTCTTTTTTTTGTTACTCAACCCTAGGTACGATTTAAACATCTACCAATCATGGAATGGTGCAACCACCACTCTACTACAAACTAGTAGTACATGTACATTTCACTTGCATTACTGTTTTACATAAAATGGCTGTAAGACAATAAATATTTAGCATACTAAGCAGTGTGCTGGTTCAATATAAGCTTCAAGTACCGTATAATCTCTTGAATAGGCGTCATTTTTCGAACATTTCAATCTTTCCTGATGCCTAGATTAGAGTCTCATTGACGTCTATTCAAGAGTATGATGTTTGTAGTGGCTAAGCGTGAATGAAAAAACTTTGTTTCGACAATGAGCTGTTATCACTGTAAAAAGTGTTAAATTCTTCTTCAATGCTCAGTTTATCTTTCGAGAACAACTAATTAAATTAAAATAAAAATCATTTCGTTTACCCATCGAAATCAAAGCCAAAAGATTGCATTACAACATTGGTAAATCTCTTGTGTTGTAATTCAATACAAGCTCCAAATAAGCTCAATAAGGTTTTTTTTTTTTTAGGTGAACCACTTTGTAGTTTTTGATGGATTTTTCTCTGGACAACCTGATTTCGTTTATGTGAGAAAAAAATCCAGGTTTAGTGTAAACAAGAGACCGCCATTGCCGCCTCGTGCCCATAGTAGAGATGGTAAGTATGTACATGCTAAAAAAGTAGTAAATACATTTGAGTACATTTAAAATACCATGCATTACCATGAATAATACAGTACAGTGAGTAATAAGTACATTTCTGTACATATTAAGTAAGTACGGCACTTGTCTTACCGGTACTTTTCACTCATGCTCGACTAAGCAACTAATGTTCAACTTATTGCCCCCCCCCCCTTTTTTTTCCCCCAAAAAATATTTCCCCTAATCTGGCGAATGATGAATTGGAATTTGGATAGTTGTTCGCAGACGTGCTCAAACGCCTACCCCATAAAAATTATGATTTTTGGAGGTGAGTACCCTGGGTATTAGGTCAGACAGGTATAATCGTACATAGCAGTTAATCAATGCTATATTAGTATAATTGATTAACTAAAATGTCATGCATGTGAAACTGAGATTTTCTCACATAGCTGTTGCTTCTTGTATTCAAAGATGAACATGCTAACATAGTTTTGAGTTAGGAATTTCTTAACATTTTACTCAACCATTCCCCAATGACTGAAAAAAAACTAAGGGTACCTGAAGTATTTTCTGATTATGGATTTTGAACCGTTTCAATTACAAATGGCCACTGGAGTAGGGCTTAAAGGGGAGCAGAGGTGTGGCTTTTGACACTCTGTACATGAAATCTGAGATCTATGAATGAATTCTGTCGATAAAAATAACTTATATGTGCTGCGAAATGCCCTAAATATCGGGTATAAAACGAGCTGTGAAGCAGACGACAAACTTCCGCTTTTCCTGGCGTCATTTCGCCTCTAGAGGGCCAGTCAAATGACGTCATCAGTGAACACTGATAATTGAACCCATTCATGCTAGTACGTCAATCCCATAGAAATGCTACTATGAAAGACCTTGTTAACTGACTACTTAAAAGTTGAAACATGGCGAGGTGTTGTGTTATAAATGCCGTAACGATTCATGTTATGTTTCTCGAAATCCCAAATAAAAAATCACGTTGTTGGTTGCGAGAATCGGCGGAAGAACTAACCTGAAAGTGAAGACAGTACAGCGTTCTGGCTATAGTAACAGTGAGTGAATAAATATTGTATGGGTTAAAACTAT